TTTGTGTTCGCGTGTGTTGGTAGGCGTGTGGGTGTGTGTTTTGTTTTGGATGTATGCGTGATGACGGTGGTCTCATCGGTTGGGGTCGTTGTGTTTGTTTGATGGGACGGAGACAAACGAGATCTAACGAGAGGTGAACGGAGGGGGCGGGAGAATGGTATAAGGGGCAGGAAAGGGCGGGAGGGAGCTCCAGGTATACATCATATGTATGTATGTATGTATGTATGTACACATCCAACGAAAAGAGAGTATTATCTATCATTACATTTCCAGCTACCGAGTATATATATGCATATATACTGTTCTCAGTGGTTTCTCCATCGCAATCGACCATCGGATCAGGAAACCAGGGCTTCCCGTCCGCTCAGCCGTACTTAAGCCTGTTCCCGGCCGGTCAGTACCACCGTGGGTGACCAGGTGGGAATCCCGGCTGTTGATTGTTTTTGTTCCTCGCCGTTCATCCCCCAGGGTGGATGGATGGGAATGGGCAGAGGAGAGGAGGATGTAGAGAGTGTCGAGCATATACTCATATACTCGGTACAGAAGAGAAGACGTGTTACCTCGTACAGTATATTCATTCATGAGGCAGGTAGATCCCCAAGTTATGTGGTGCAATTAATAGTGTGGCTTTCTTGAGTTTTTTTGAGCTGCTGTGGTGGGGGACACGAGGGATATATTCTCCTGATTCTGTCAGCCTTGTCTTGTGATTACTAATTGATTTTTCTCAGCCTTGCACCGCAAAACCCAACGACTCAACTACGGTACAGGTACAGGTACAGGTACCAAGCACTGACATACTGTGTGTGGCTCTCGCGATAGTGGTCAATTTTTATATCGTCGAGAATTCTCACTAACGTCTATATTCCGGAGGACAGTAACTTTGCACGCACTCAAGCATGATACTATATATACGTGGCTACACATGCTGATTACCGCAGAGTCATCAAGACATCGATGCGCTGAGAATCAATCTCCTCGCTCATAAAGACTGAAAGATAAATAACTAACTAATAGCTAGACAGACAGCCTACAGCCTACACACACACATCTCTCCCAATGGTCTTCTTTCATAACCATTACGACCTCCTCCCCTCGCATCACAATCCAGCCTGATTGAGCAGAGAATCCAATCTTCCCAAGGCCATGCCCATCAGCGAACTCCCCCAGCCACCACTCCCGGCCACGACGCGAATAGCACGCTTCCAGCGCGAAATCAGCTCGCTCACCTCCGCCCGCGCCGCGCCACCCGTCTCAGTCATGAGGAGCAACTGCACAAGGAACGTGCTGACAATGGCAAAGTTGCCTTGCGACCACGAGTGCCAAAACGCGTTCCACGGACCGATCATGCTCACCATGGTCTCGAGCAGTTCGACGGCTTCTCTGGCACAGTTGATCGAGCCGGTCACGACGGCGGATGCGGCGGACTTGTAGCTGCTATCTATGGGAGATTCACTAGTGTTACCGTGTTGGACAGGCCGCAGGAGCGCGCGGAAGAGAACGATCGACACAACGCACGCGGCGAGGTGCACGGATGCGCTCATCCCGGGGGTCTCGTCGCCAGAGTTGAGCGGGAGATCAGCTTTCAGACTCTGTCTGCAGTCGCTGAGCGCGGAGCGTAGGGGGCGGGCGAACTCGAGCGATTTGAATAAGTCGGACAAAGTCTGCTTCGCCGCGCGGATCGTGTAGTACGTCCCGTGGATCTGGGCCAGGAGGTGTGTTAGAAGGACAAGCCGCTCAAACTCGTTGCTGTGTCCCATTCCAGCATCGTGGTCGTCAGACATGCCGTCCGCGGACTTTGGCAGAGGCACGTCGTAGTCGTCGAGCCCGATCGATCGTCCTCCAGGCGAGTCCACGCTGACCCAGATATCCATAGTGAATGTCGCCCACCACAGTCGTCTGCGAAGCTGCTTCTCTGCCAGAGGTATATTCCATCCGCTGCAGTCATATTGCAGGCCGAGGGATCTGGCAATCGTGCTGGCGATGGACGAGAGCCACGAATACATCGGTGTCAGCCCCTGGTGCTGGATCGTCGGGCCTTTCTGCAGCAAAAGCAGACATGCTTGTAAGGCTTCAATAGAAGGCGAATTAGCCTCCTCCAGCAAAGCTGCGATCGCGATTCTGTAAAGCTGCTCGCGTTTACCGTTTGCATCGGTCAGTGTCGCACTCAGGTAGTCGTTGTGTATGGCAAACGGCAGAGCTGTGGCGTATACCGATGCAAACAGAGCGAGCGACGCCGTGTCCTGCGGAGGGTCGCAGTGAATGTCATTGTTGAACCCGTCATGCTGTTGGAGAACGGGAAATAAAGGCTGCACGAACCGAAAATACAGTCGGAGGAGTTCATCGCGCTGCTTTCTCACGAGCAGAGCCTCGATATCTGGCCACGAGGCACGTTCCATACACGACTTGCTGTTGACCAGAAACGGCGGATCCTCTCTCACCATCAATATCTGCGGACCACCATCGCCGGACGACTGGTCGTCATTGTGGTCTCGCGTGCTTCTCAGGCGAACCCGGGAGATTTCGAGCGGATTGGTGCTGCTGCTGCCTCTCATCAACTCCATCATCACATGCCGGTTCAAGTGCCCTGTATCCGGCGGGATCTGGGATCGGTGCAGCGTGCCCGAGTCGTGATACCTGGCATCCCCGGAAGACGGGCGCAGGCTCTGCGGCTGGAAATGCCGCGGGCTTGTACTTGCGTTTCGTCCATCCGAGGCGGACGGCTGCGGGAGAGGAGACCTCTGACTCTGGCCCTGGCTCTGAAACGGAGGACTCCCGTCCTCGGCGAGATCGAGACTGTCGAAGATGGTGCTGTCAAACGCCTCGACGCTGAAATCCTCCCAGCTCTGAGGGGGGATCGACGCTAGGCGCCCCTCGGCCAGCGGCTGCTGCTGTTGCTGCGGCAGAAAATGGTTGTTTGGCAGAGAATGCGAATGCGAGAAAACTCGCCGTCTCTTGTTGTTCGGCCCGTTCTGGAACGTGCAGGTGCTCCCGCGACTCTCGCAGAACGCGCACGGCGGCGACGTCTCGATGCGACACGCTATCTTGCGTCCTCGACAGGCATCGCACGGTCTATCGCGCCTCGAGCGGAACGGCCTCGGACCTTCCTGGCGGCTGGACAGGTCCATTCTATTGATGCGGTAGGGCGCATCCTCGAGCGGTCCCAAAGACAATGCATGACTTCGAAACAAACCTGAGATGGGAACCAAACGGATGGAGAGAGATGTCTAAGGTTGTTGGCTCTTTCGCGGAAGGGGGGAAGCCTGCGGGAATTGTTATCTCAAAGCGGCTAGTAGACCACGACGGTTTGATAACGACGACGGCTTCTCTTTTCACGCGCGCCGGCGCGCACTTGACCGAGGGGGTCGAAAATCATGCTTTCCTTTTTTTTTCGCGGTCTATTCTATAGTAGCTAAGGGAGGAAAGAAGCCACTGAGAAAGTGGTGCATGAACATTGAGCCGCTGCGAAGCATGATGCGTCTGTCACCCTTATAAATGCTCTCCCGGTTTGAGTTTCTCGAGTGTGTTGGCTTCGTTGAGATTTCTCTGCCAACATCGCTCATCTCCGCGCTTCCTGAGAAACGCATTGTTGCCCGTTACAAAGTGTCGATAAGGCGAAGGGAGGGGGATTTTCATGGATGGACAAGTAAGTGGCCATCGCAATGCCGCCGAACGCATCTGTCTCGAGGTGTGAGGTACGGCGCCACTCCACCACCTCCTAAAGTCAGGTGGAGGAGGAAAGGGCAAATACTATATATAACTACAGACAATCCTCGTGCGCGCGCAGACTCGACATGGACCCAGCAAGTACCACGGCAGAGAGTCCTGTATATCCGCCGCAGCCATGTCTTCGTTCCGCTCTCTCCTCCAGACCAAACAACGCCTGATCGGCACCTTCGTCAGCTTCAACGACCCGTACAGCGCCCAGATCCTGGCACAATGCGGCTTCGACTGGCTGATGATCGACATGGAACATTCGCCGCTCTCTGCGCAGGAGATCACGGCCATGGTGCATTCCAGCGTGGCGGCGTCGGCAGGGAATTGCGCGCCCATCGTGCGGATCCCGTCCCACGGCATCGAGTGGATCAAATGGGCCCTGGACAGCGGTGCCAGCGGCATCATCGTGCCCATGGTGAACAACAAGCAGGAGGTTGACGGGGTCATCAAACGCGCGCGCTACCCTCCGACGGGCCAAAGAAGCTATGGTCCCTTTCGAACGCCCTTTGCCGAGATCCCTGCACCCCCCGACGTGGCTGACTACAAGCGAAAACGGGCGCCCGAGGTGATGATCCTGCCCATGATAGAGTCGAAAGAGGCGGTAGACAACGCCGAGGACATCATCGGGACGGACGGCGTGGACGGCATCTTCATCGGACCCGTCGACCTGAGACACTCGCTTGGCTTCGAGGGCGCCTCGGGGGATGAAGCAGAATACGTGGCAGCCTTGCAGAAAGTGCTTCAGGTGGGCAAAAAGTGGGCAAAGCCGATCGGCATTCTCGGCTCACAGGCTGCGATTCCTCGTCTCATGGAGATGGGATTCAGCTTCATCATGTTACCAGGAGGGGACGCAGGGATCCTAGCGGAGGCGGCTTCAGCGCTGCTAAAGGCATCGAAAAACTCGATTAGCTAGAACCATAATAATCTATTGCTGGGACATCGATTTTGATGCTTTAATCTTGCGAGCCTTCATTTCCAGGGCCTACCATCTCGACTGCGGTGTGCTTCATGTACGGGATCTGTTCGTCGTTCCACTGAGCGACCAGCTTGGCGATCTCCTCTCCAGAGAAGTTGCCCTTTTCGATCCGTTCACTCAGTAGTCGGGCCCGCTTCTCGAGAACATCAAGGCGGTACGTCGACCACTGCTTGAACAGCTGGTCGTGGCGACTGCTCTTCTTGACGTTGCCCAGATTGCTGACGTCCTTCAAGCTCGGGTCCCGTGGACGGAACGAAGTAACCATGGTGACACGCTCACCAGTTCCGACGGCTCTCAATGCAATGTGCTCGATACAGCCTCCTTGCATCATCACGGCCCAGCCAACTTGTGGTCCTCTGATCTTGGCGATAGAACCGTCCCCTTTCCTGAGGCCAGTCTCACCGCCGATCATATTGGATGGGTCGGACAGCATGCAAACGCAGACCCAGGGATACGAGTCTGTGTGCCATCGACCAACCGAGGCGAGCTCCTCGGACTGGTCAACAGCTGGAAGGGGGGTCGATAGTGCCTGGTTGGGAGGCATGGCAGGTGGTAGTGCAGCATCTAGTGGCATGCCGTCCTCCAGAGCGTCCACTTGGACGTTGATATGGGCGATCTCGTAGTCGAACACCACATCCAGATCGACCCCAGCAGCGTCAGAACAAGCTTGTATGACCTCTTTGCTGCGCCATACGGAATCAACAAAGGGTGTATCTTTCGAGTATCCCCTCATCTTATAGCAGTTCGGCTTTGTCCGGTCGCCATGCTTGACCACAATCTCTTTACGAAAGAGGTCCGCCCGCATCTGCTTGACACCTTCAAGGGTGAACAGCGGGAATGGCTCTGTAATGGCGACGGGCGAGATGGCATCTTTCTCCGACAGGAGCAGCTCTTTCAAGGTAATGATGCTTTTTGGCGGTTCAAAGCAGAGGTGTTTGGCAGGGTCGAAGCGAACAGGCCCCGGCGGACTAGAAATAAGAGGCTCAACCTTGACGAATGCATGGTCGACGGTCGGCAGGGGAAGAACGCTGGTTTCGGCGGCCATAATGGGCAGGTGGTTTAATACGGTGGTTAATGCTGCGACTCGTGAGTTTGAGTCTCTCTTACCTCGATTTTATAAACATGGCGCGGCCGTCGTCTATCCCGCAAACACCAGGATCTTGGAGATCGGTCCATCGCGTCGGGGAGCTTCGTTACCATGAGATAGGTCAGGTTTAGCTTTTCGATCTGTTCGCCGGATGGAGTGGTGGAGGCAAAGGACAGTTGTATATGGACGGGCAAGCAGACGGCGAACCGAGATCGATGTAGCGGGCATCTCCTCCTTCATCGGTGGCTGCGCTAAGCTCCTTCGATCTTCTCAAAGTCTCCCTCGTGGCGTCAGATAAGCTCCTTCGCCGAGTCTTCTTGCCCGTGATAGTCTCTCCATTCCCCGGCCATTCCCCTATCTTGAGGAGCGTTGGCTGTCTCTCCAATGAGGATATGCAGATTTGACCGTCAGCGGGCAACCGGATGGCTGGTTCCTCCCGTTCTATGCCAAAAGCCCACACTATCCACGCCCACATGTCTATCACAATGTTGGATATGGAGCCGGGGCTAGCGTTCCGTGGGCCTATCAAGGCAGATATGATAGTACCGAAAGCCAAACATGGGGATCTCAACCTCGCCTGTCACTACAAAAGAATGGCTTGTTTCCACCGTGCACGTCTCTGACTTCTCCCAAGTTCAGTACTTCGGCTTGATTGACGACAAGGGAGACCATGGGTACAGACAAAGACACCAATGTTGGCACTGCCAGTCCAGTCTCGGAGGAGGCACCCGAGGTGGGCTCTATTCGAGAGCTCAAGTCACTGCATGTGGACGGTCTCGACCCAGTCTTTGAGCACCAAGCTCGGCTCGTGAACCATGCAGTTCAGTGCATCGGCATGGGAAAGGTAATACCAAGCGGATGCCCACCAGGATGAAGCGAGTTGACATTTCTAGTACCAATGGGTACTCTTCTTCCTCTGCGGGTACGGTTGGCTGTGTGATCAAGTAAGTATTCGGGCCTTTTCCCCATATAGCATCAGCTGATGGTCCCAAGCTCTGGCAAACGACCGTCTCGGACGCACTTGCCCAAGTGGCCGTTGAGTTCACGCCAAAGCATTCGGCATTTTTGTCTCTTGCTTTGATCGCTGGATTGGTTGTTGGTGCAACTTTCTGGGGACTTGGAAGTGAGATATCTCAGCCGGAATCCAATTCATGTTCTGACCGTGGCAGGCGATTTGATCGGTAGAACACTTGCATTCAACCTGACCCTGCTGATTGCTGGAGTCTTTGGCACCGCTGCAGGAGCTGCCAACAGCTTCGTGTCCTGTGCCGTTCTCGTCGCCTTCTGCGGGTTTGGTGTTGGAGGAAACTGTAAGTCCAGAACCTTGAATCCAAAAAGAAAAACCCCCTCCGCTGACTGCGCAGTACCTGTCGATTCTGCCGTCTTCCTTGAATTCCTTCCAGGGACTCACCAGTATCTCCTCGAAATTTTGGCCGTTTGGTGGTCAATCGGTCAAGCCATCCCAGCAGGAGCAGCCTGGGGCTTTCTTCCCAACTTCTCTTGCAGCGCCGACACACCTGTTGGTCAATGCCATAAGAAGGACAACATGGGCTGGAGGTATCTGATGTACACCATGGGTGGCATCACCTTGGCCGCTTTCTTTGCTCGCTTCGTCTTCTTCCGACTCCGTGAAAGTCCACGGTATCTGATCGGTCAAGGACGGTACCAGGAAGCCATTGATGTGCTCAACGATGTCGCAAAGTACAATGGCACCACACAGCCCCTGACTGTCGAGGATCTGTTGCAAGTCGAGAGAGACTATGCGACCGTCGGCCATCCCGCAGCTGTAAAGAGGCCCAACTCCTGGAAACGCACTCTTGCACAATTCCGACCCGGGGGTCTCAAGCACATTCGAGCTCTCTTCTCCACCAAGAAGGTTGCCTATAGCACCAGCCTCATCATCCTCGTATGGGGCATGATTGGTCTTGCGTCACCATTGTATGCGAACTTTCTGCCAGAATGTATGTATACGAGTGTGACGACGTGGAAAAGTTGCTGACGATGAGATAGATCTGGCGTTGCATGGTGCGCAGAGCGGCTCGAATAGCATCGGCATCACGTATCGCAACAACTTCATCATCATCGCATGCTCCATTCCAGGTACTTTGATGGCAGGGTGGTTTATCGGACTACCATATATTGGCCGAAGAGGCACGCTTGGTATTTCTCTGATCTTGACCTCCGTCTTCCAGTTTGCCTTTACAGCAGCACGGACACAGGCACAAATCCTTGCCTTCAACTGCATCACCAGCTTTGTTTCGTATATGTGAGTTGCACTCTGGGGTCACCGTGTTTGGGTTCATGCACTGACTGATCATGTAGCATGTGGGGAGCTTTGTACTGCTATACGCCCGAGGTCATCCCCAGCGTGCACCGAGGCACGGGTTGCGGGTTGGCGGCAGCATTCAATCGTATCTGTGGTCTGATGGCGCCGATCATCGCAACTTATGTCGGCTACACGAACACGCCCATTTTCGTCTCGGCGAGTTTGTATATCGCTGCGGGATTGATCAGCTTTATCTTTCCGTATGAGACAAGCGGGAAGGCAAGTCTGTAAGCGCATGATGTGATGCGCGAGGGTTGTATCAGACTTACTGGTTGGAGAATGACGCCTGTGAGCAATCTCATGACGTTAGGAGATCAACGGGCCACGATGTATAGCCAGGACAAACCAGCCAGCTTTGGTTGTTATAGAGCTTATGAGTAGTCTGATTCACTTCAGACGTAAGCAATTCATCTCTTTTGGAAGTCAAGAAAGAGGAGTGAAACCCAAGTCCTGCATGGACCACGGCCTGAGCTCCACGAGATCATCTGGCTTCTTTTCGCCCACGGGCTTGCCAAACTCGAAGAGGAATTGCAGCATCCATTGATCCATGTGAAAGGACGTCTCCTTGTATTTCTGACATGCCTTGTGGAACTCGCGGAACCGCGTAAAGCAGACGTCCAAGGTGGGCCAAAAGGCCTGCAGGCGGGTCAAGATCTCAAAGTTGCGTTCGAGACGCGAGCGCGCGGTGCGGATCTGGACCTCGTCGGTGCTGAAGAGCAGGATGTGGAGTTGGACGGTCGATGCAATGACCAGCACGTGTCCGACCATGGTATAGTATACCTCGCAGCCCGGGGTGGAATATGCCCGGTACAGAATCTCGCAAAGCCCGATCGAGTGGCCCTTGCACTTGTCGGCGTAGTACCGCGCGTGGACGGTGTCGTCGTACGAGTCCTCGTGGAGGTATGGATAGTACAGTAATTGTCCGTAGTGGTAATAGCCCAGATAGACCGCCACGAACATTGGACCGAGCCCGATCGTGGCGTAGCGCGACAGGTTTGCGTGTGTGTCCTGCAGCCCAGTGGGTAAGTTGTCGTACCAACCTTCCAACTTGGCTGTGAGTGCATCGACGGCTTCTTTGTGGTGGGTGTCGAGGTGGGAGCGGGATGCCGCAAGTTCGTTGACGGTGCTGATCTCGAACAGAATCGCATTGAGCTTGATCATCTGTGTCAGCAGCGAAGCACTCGACTCCTGCAGGCTGGATGGGCTGGGGATGTCGATGCCACCGGGGCGCAGGCGGTGAAACACCGTCTCTTCCATAGGGTAGGGGACGTCGTTCCTGGGTGTCAGCATTCTCGGGATTCTGACACCTCTAGAAGACCAGACGTCAATCATACATAGCGTCCACCACGCTCGCCGGTTCACTTCCTGCTCGACCTTCGACGCAACAGCCATATTGGGGAGATCAAGCAACAGCGCATTCCGACAGGCTACGCTGTAGTAGACCGCTTCGGCAGCTGCCTCTCCTTCAGTGATAACATAGGCCCCGAGAAGGACGGCGGCCTGCAACGTCGTCATAGAGACTTCACGAATGTTGAGGAGGTGCTCTGCTTCCCGGGCGTATAGTCTACCCCGAATTCTGGGATCAGTTCCCGTGAAGAAGGGATCTTCCGAAAACCTCGCAGAGAGACTGATCATGGCGAGCAGAAGAACCCTTGGGATTGTGCCATTGATGACGTCTTCCACCACGCTGGGTGGATGGAAGAGTGAATGGAACGTGTCGTGTATGTAGCGGAAATACAGTTCCACGAGCTCTACGCATAGAGACTGAGAGGGTAATTCTATCGTGACGCATTGACACCGAGTTGAGCCAGACACGGAGGTATTGGGAGTCGTGGTTGGTGACTGGGTAGGCCAAGTGGTATCGATCCGAGGGAAAGGCGCAAAGGAGCAGTTGAGTTTACGCGAACTGCAATAGGCACATGGTGCCCTGGGTGCGGTGATTTCGCATTTGCGGCGACGAGTTCTGATGGAAATTTAGACCTTGTGGAGGGAAAGGAATTGTCACCTACCGACATACGACACAGGCAGTGGGAGGACGCATTGTGGTCTAGCAGACCGTGTCTGAGTTCGATAGTCTTGGATCGGGTTGCGAGCAATCAAATGCTGTGTCAAGGACGCGGCGAAGAAGGAAGCGGGGTTGGAGACGCGCAAGGATCAATACAATCGAGGCGGGGAAATACGAGGTGCACGCGACATGCGGCGAGGCAGAATGATTTGGCGAATTGGCCACAATCGCACCGGCCAGCTTCATCTATCCACGTATATAGATCCAATTTCCCTGTCTTGACAATATTGAGTACCTCAGCACCACCGTGTCGATTGTCTGTGACTTGCACATCCCTCATAATTCCCAGACCCGTTGCAATCCCATATTAGAGCTCACTCTTGGTCGTGGCGTATCTCGGAGAGGCGCCACTCAAGTTCCGCAGTCTGAACATGCGGATACCATGTCGTGGTACATGCGCTCGCAGAACGTCATGCTTTGGTCCAATGCTGCCTACACGCTTGCCCAAAAGCCGCGGGTCAGGCTTGGCCAGACCCTCTTTGTACGGCGTCAGAGTCGAGTTATACCACGAGCTTCTGTATTGAGCCTTTCCATTGAGAATTTGCTCAGCTGTAGAATCTTCCATGCGATCAGCCCACAGGTCGTAGATGTCAAATTCCTCCATGGTCTGCGGCGCCGAACCTTCAGGCCCTTCGTGCACAAAGATGTCATTGAGGGTGGTTGTCATTTCGAGATCCTCGTCCGCTGCATTGAGGAAGATGACAACCTGGTCGTGGAGCCAAAGCGGGCCACTCCAAATTTGGACCTCGCCTTGTCCATATTTGTCCTTCTTGACCTGTTGATCCCGGTATATCTGAGCAACAGACCGACCGAGTGGATCTTGGCTGACTGCAATCACGGCCGGGTTGTTTAGAATTGTCAACGTTTTGGACGACAGCTTGCGAATGTCGGCCCCAATCAGTAGCGGAGATTTCAGAGCTGCCCACATGGAAAAGTGTGCCTAAACATCAAACACCAATCAGCGGAGCCATGAATCAGGATCGAGTTCGCCATACTTTGTATTCTTCGTCAGTCATCCCACCCTGTCCCACCTCCAACATGTCTAAATCGTTCCAGCCGCCAAACTGACTGCGATCAGCGTAGGGCGCAACTTTATTGATGATATTCATGACTGAACAGTGACTTCCTGGTGCGACACAATGCGGATCTCGAGGATCGTCGCACGCACATAGAGCGTCTGGACGGTTGAAGTGGTCATAGATATCGCCGGACATTCGCCAGGAATTAGCAATGGACATGCCCCACGTGTGCACATAGTCCTCTCCCCAGGAACATAACGAATAAAGAATTGGTCGACCAGTAGCGTTGAGTGCTTGGGCCATCTTGTTGTAACGGTTGAAGGAGATTTCAGGGTAGCCGAATCGGCCGCGATGGTAACAATTGTCGTATTTCAGATAGTCGACATCCCACGAGGCCCAAATCTCTGCGTCTTTCTCTTCGTGGTCAAGCGAACCTTCGTATCTGGCGCAGGTCATTTCTCCAGCACTTGAATACATGCCAAACAGGAGACCCATCTCGTGAAGTTCATTAGCAACCCATTTCATGCCGTTGGGGAATTTCTTCGCGTCATGTTGAAGATAGCCACCGGCGTCACGCCCATCCGACCAGCAATCATCAAGGACGACATATTGATAACCCACGTCTTTCAGGCCGCTATTCAGCAACACCTTGGAAGTATCGAGCAACAATGACTGGGATACATCACAGCCGAGGGAATTCCAGTTGTTCCACCCCATCTGAGGCGTTCTAGCCAGACCATTGTTGACTGCATACACCGAAGTGGCTAAGAGGGTTGGTGCGAAGAGAAGCAACATCGTTTTATGTGGTGAACGAAGAACGAAACAACGGTAGGCCACTTGGTAGGCTCAGGGATGCCAGACTCCCCATCTTATAGGTCGGGAACCACATAAGGAAGGATAGCCCTAAAACCGCTGCAAGATGCGCAGATCTGCGGTACATGACCGATGCAGGAGACTCTCGTCAAGGCGGTCGCGCAAGGAGGGGCGTTCTGCAAGGCGAGAAGAACCGAGCCAAGCAGCGGACGAATGAGAAATGCAACATCGGCATTTTTGACTGCTCAAGCGCTGCCATGTGGTAGTTGGATGCAATGTAAAGCCGTATTGCTGAGTTGTCAAGGTTGTCTCTCTTTCTCGCCTTTTCCCAATTCCGCCACTAACAAACTTGCCGAGACTTTGAGCCAATCACGTGCAATCAATCCCGCTGACCCCCTTTCCCACAGGCTCCGCCGAGTCCGCGTAATTCGCTTCCAGGGTTTCTCTGCATCAGACGCAGTTGCTGACCTCTCCTTCACTTCAAACCACGAATCCATCTATTTCCCCGAACCTGCTGCTGGAGGATCCTTCGCCACGTCCAACTAGCGCACAGGGAAACGTTCAAACCTTTTCGGCCTCTATCCCGATCAGTACTAAATTACCGTTGCCAATGCCAATGGCGCATCTATGACCCACAGAGATCCGGGACGTTAACTTGTGGATTCCGGCCTCTTATCTCCTCTGGCCATTGGCTAGTTCCATAACATCCCTCCACCAATACCCTTCGGCGGCAGCAAGGGACACTGCTTCTATCGCCTCGCTCCCTCCGACGGCCAACGAGGGATAGACTTCCTTTACCGGCGGCGAGGATGCCCAGCCGGCTGAAATGAATGGTAAAGACTCCCAGCTGAAGAATAGTTCGCAAGGTCGGGATGTACCTGACCGAGATATCCAGACCATGAATCCGTCCCCAGCACCCCATCGAGGACAAGTCTTGAGGACGACGACCATTCGGGCGATCGCCCACTGTTAGCAAAGGCAGAAGCTACCGAGGACAGTGTCCAAGCACGGGACTTCTACCAGCATGGAAGTGCGAGCCAGTTACCCTTGCGCCAGGAGTGGCATGCCGATGAAGAGGCAGAAGAAAATAGAAGGCTCGAACAAGCTGCCTCGAAGTATTCCCAGTTTGAACACAACTTGACCGTACGAGAAGCTCTCAAAGCCTACCCCATGGCCGTGTTCTGGTCCCTGGCGGTCAGCACCTGCGTGATCATGGAAGGCTTTGACAGCGTTCTTGTACCTAATTTTTATGCCTATCCTACCTTTCAACGGAAATGTGCGTCTCGATTTCCCCCTTTTCCTCACTTATATGGGCTACCTTATGCTAAGTGTTTGTTGCAGATGGTGAATTCGTTGGAGTTACCGAGCAGACGAAGTCCGGCTATCAGCTCAGTGCAACTTGGATGGCCGCGGTAAGTCTTCATGCACCTCAGTCGTGCTTAGAATGTGAGGCTGCAGTGCAAACTGACTACAAAGTATAGATTGGAACGGCCTCAGGCGTCGGCGCTGTCCTCGGAACCATATTGAACGGCTATCTTGTCGACCGACTTGGCCAGAAACGAGTGCTCATCGGCTCCCTGTGCGTTCTGTCTTGTCTCATCTTCATGACTTTCTTTGCCCCCAACATAGTGGTCCTGATGATCGGGCAATTCTTGTGTGGTTTTCCATGGGGTATCTTCGCGACGGTTGCACCATCTTACTCCAGCGAAGTGCTGCCCATGGCGCTCCGGGCCTACCTCTCGAGTTTCACCAACATGAGCTTCATCATTGGACAAATCATATGTGCGATCGTGTTACGGATCTTTCTGGAAAGGGACGACGAGTGGGGATTCCGAATCCCTTTTGGTTGTCAATGGATATGGCCGGCTTTCCTCATACCTCTGTTGTCGTTCGCACCAGAATCACCGTGGTATCTCGTCCGAAAGGGGCGTCTCGAGGATGCAGAGAAATCGCTCCGACGCCTTCAGTCACGCACAGCCAAGATCGACCCCAAAGATACGCTCGCGGACATCGTCCGCACAAATAACCTGGAACAGTCGTTGCAAATCGGCACATCCTACGTCGACTGCTTCCGCGGATTCGAACTCCGACGCACCGAGATCGCATGCATGTGTTTTGCCGGACAAAACTTCTCTGGGCTGTCCTTTGGCTATAATGCGACATACTTTTACGAACAGGTTGGCCTCAGTGCCGAGATGACGTACACGCTGAGTCTCTTCGGCACTGGTTTGGCACTGCTCGCGACGCTGGCGAACTGGTTCTTCGTCATGCCCTACTTCGGCCGTCGAAGAATCTACACGACTTCGATGCTAGTCATGGCACTCATTCTCTATGTCATTGGCGTCTTGAATATCTGGTCCTCCCTCGTCTTCATTGCATTCACGCAAGCCCTGCTCACCCTGGTCTGGACCATCGTCTTCCAGCTTTCAGTTGGACAATTAGGATGGTCCCTCCCCGGAGAAGTCTCCTCTACGCGCCTTCGGACCAAGACGATATGTCTCGCCCGCAACGCTTATTACCTCGTCGGCTTCATAGGAGGGGTGGTCCAGCCGTACATGATGAACCCGCAGGCACTGAACTGGAGCGGCTACACGGGTTTGTTCTGGGGCACCACGGCCATTCTGACGTGGGTGTGGGCGTGGTACAGGTTACCGGAGACGAAGGACCGGACTTACGAAGAGCTGGATATCTTGTTCGCCAAGAGGATCGACGCGCGGGACTTTGAGTCGACCAACGTCCGCGCACTAGACGAGAACGAGATGCAACAATTCAGGAGGAAAGCAGGGGCCGATACACAAAGTGGCGAAGAAAGTCCAGGAGGATGGGATACCGTGGATGAACGTGTGCGCCTGACTATCAATGCCGGTGAGACTGACGAGAGCGGCACAGGTGCCAGTACTTCCCGTCGCGCAGTCGCCGATGATGAAGAGAGGCTGTTGTCGCGGACCGCGACCGACCCTGAAACCTGAACGGGATGACGAGGGGAGGTAATTAAATCAATATCATCATCCGCACTGGGCGTTTCGGTAAGGGAAAGGAAGGAGACACGGACCTATCTATCTAATTCACTTGGAATCTAGAAGGACAATGCATGGGGGGTATGTCTCCTTCGATTTCTCGAGTCTCTGGCAAGACAAACATCGAATTCTAGGACACAGAGAGAAATAGAGAGGCAGAATTGATCGACAGCCCTTTTCAAGCTGGGCCTTTTTCTTCTTCCCTCAACCCCCCCAAAATATGTTTCATTCTTGTCTCGATACAAGTATGCCGTTGGTCTTGGGGTTTGTCTGGCTTGGCTGTCGCTCTAGTGTACAGGTTGACACATAGATAGGTATAGACATGGATATATTTAGAGATATGACCTAGACTAGACAGTCACAGTTGCTTGATGAACTGGATTGGACGGGACGGGACGGGTGATGAGGATAGTACATAAACTCCGATGTCCATGGGTATCGTTGGTAGAATACATCGAACAATGGTGACAGAAAGCCCCTCTATATCCTGGATGACATATGGATGCGCATATCCTCCAATAGCCCATCGGTGACTGTGCAGGCGCTTGCTAGCTTTCCTAGTTCTCACACACCTTTCAACCGTGCTCAGCTCGTCGTCTTTGCTGGGATGGCCTTCATAGGGTCGTTGTCCAGCCTCTTCACCAAGTCCAACGCTGCCTTCACAAACACAGGCAGATCCGGCTGTGCAAAGGTTGGGGGACTCAGCAATGGTCGCTCTGCTAGGCGAAGCTCTTGTCTCGTACCAGCCGCGCCGGTGTATGTGACGTGGTCCAAGCAAAACCTTGCTGTTGACATGGAAGTACGCTTAGACGTGGGTTTGGGATTGGTCTTGGTCTTGGGAATTTGGGAGGCTGACTCCACTGAGAAGAGCCGTGAATCAACGTCAACAACATCAACTGATCGGAGAATATATTCCTGTTTCTTCTCGATAGTACCGGCAGGGCTCTTTGCGCCTTTTGTTTTTCCACCGCTGCGAGTTTCCTGCCGTGCATCTAGAAGGGCGGCCTGCTGAGGATGTTTACGTGCCTCTTGCAAACCAAGAGGTACCTGCAAAGTGACAAATGGTCGAAACACCCAATCCGAAGAACCGTGTCCTTGCGCATTACCGATATAGACACGCAGGGCATTCATGAACGCTTGCACGACATCAGTTTCGGAAGATCCAGGGTAGGCGAGGTCCTGCTTGAGTTGCTGCGTGAGCCGGACGTCCATACGAGTGTGTGGACACAGCACTGTCAAATGTTTTTCCTGGTGTATGGCTGACACCCGGACGACCTTGAGTCGAGGACGCTGACCGCCCACAGCTTCACCTGCCGTGACGATTATTTCGAAAGTCGGCAAATCGGTCGAGGTTAGAACAGGCGAGAGTTCGAGGCGCAGGATGGCACGCGCATGTTGGTCTATATCGTTCGCAGGGTTTGATGGCGGATCAATCCATGGTTCCATAAGTGCGAGATGCTGTGGCAAAAAGGGCCCTCCTCCCACAAAATATCTTCCCTGCTTCTGTGAATCGACCGCAACGTGCTGAGCAGCGCCACCGTTGGCAGCCTGCAGTACCTCTTTGGTCAAAGCTTGCCCAAATTTGGCTGTCACATCATGGTAAAGTTCTTGCCGATTACCCTCACTGCCAACTTTAGCGAAGGGGTCGGACGTACCCCAGAGACCCTGCAGAATTGGTGTAAGAGCAGCCTCCTTGCGGGAACCAGCATTGCCAGTCGGCGGACTTGGGGAGATAGACACCAGTCTCAGCCATTGAGCGTGATGCAATAGCGCAGGAAATTCAGACGGAGTAGGGAATGGTTGGTAGGCAATTGCCGACGTAACCTTTCGTGGCCAGATGACTGACTCTCCCGAAGTAGTCCCCGTTGGCACAGAAAGTAAAATCTCGCGACGGGCCTGGTCAGCGCCGCGCTGGTTCCCGAGGTGGACGATTCTGATGTATTGCTCGTCCATGCCAATGTTCAACCCTGGGTATTTCCGTTGAATCGATTTCAGGTACGCAGTCAAATACTCCCTGGTAGCAGGATCCTGGTACATGTCCCGGTGGGTGTCATGTAGTGGTATAACAATCTGTCCCAGATTTTTTACATAGCGAGAGATTCTCTGCAGGGCTTGCTGAGCGTTGGATCTGGATCCTGTGGCTCTAATCTTGTATTGAGACGGATAGACATCAAGTTGGACATCCAGCTCCTCGGCAATCTTCTTCAATGGCTGACTCGGATGCATCAGGAGGTGGTCGAACTTGACAGGCTCGTGCAGGGTGATGACCATCTTCGACTGTTTGCCAGTAGAAACAGGCTCGTCCTGAACCGGCGTTGTAAAGCCCCAGACTTCTTCGACCAAGTATTTGATGATTTCCCTCTTGTTGTATTTCTCGAGATCGTCGGTGACGGAGAGGTTGCCTTTGCGCAAGCGAATATACTTTGTCAACTGCTGTTTCTGGAACCCAGTGTGCAGCTGCCTCTTCAGGGTTGTCCACTCGTGTTTTTCCAGCTGCCCGCGCATCTTGCCCACGAGAGAGCGAACGTGTTCGATGTTCTCTGCCAACTTCGGTCCACTCAAGGGGGCACTCTCCGAGTTGATGGACTCCTCCAATGTGCTGCCCAGCATTTTGCCCGTTCCTTCATCCTTGGGGACTTCGGGTATTCGTCGATCGCGTGTAGGTAGTAGCAACACCTCCGCAGGCGTACCTAGGGAATTGACCCCAAGTTGCGCGGTGGGTTTGGGTTTCCATTTTCGAAAATTGTGACGTCGAAAGTTGGGCCGAGGGGGCGTCGTTGGTTGGGATTTTAAATCACTTCCAGGGTGAGGAGGAGGAGGATGCGTGTGGTCTTCGTCGACTTCTTCGTGAGGTAACTGGTGTGCCGCTACACCCTGCCATCGTCGTTGCACACGACTGCAGATAGATTCTGCAGTCCCCAGCGGATTGAGGCTGGCCCTGGCTAGATTTCTCTGGCACCGCAGGCAGACATGAACCCGGTTGGTGGCACGTGCTAACATATATGTCGTGCATGAAATGCCACGACTATGGCGTTTTGTTCAAGGGAGAGAATGGCCACGCGCTTTGGTTGTTCACTCCGTTGAAAGCACGTACGCAGTTGACGAATTCCCCATAAATTGGAAAAGTGTCGCCCAGAGTAAAGATGGCATAACTACTCGGAATAGCTGCCTATCTAAGAAACATTTCAACTGTTCAAGTTACACCTGCCAGTATCAAAATCCTTGCCCGATTGGACCGAGTCGTTGTAAACGGTCTTCTGAACCACCACTGCCGCAGTCGTGGACTCGCAGATTCTGGATAAGGACTCGGTCAATCGCACACCACATTCGAGATATGGCACAACGCTCCACGCTGTACCACAAGCTATGCGGAAATACAGTGTCTTCTATTGCTAACATGATGTACACTGTGATCAGAATGATGCTAGACATGGGCCGACATCTCGAGCTTTGGTAATATATACGTAGATGACAACGTCCAATGCCGATAGCAAGCTTCGTAAAGCACTTTGATGACTGGTCTTCTTTTACCTTCCCTTTATGAATAAGCGTCCTCGGTAAGGCCGACAGCAAAATTTGTACTGAGAATACCGGTTTGGTCGTCCAACAAAACCGTTATTCCGGCTTCTGTGGCTGTTAGAAACACAGGTGATATCACGCCTGACGAGGCCTTCTCCTCCCCATCCGGGGCGAGCTTTGAGTGGCTTTCGTCTCTTCCCAAAGTGGAGAAGGACCGATGCGAGCAGGTCTGACGGGAGAGCAGGCGGAAGACCCGTCTTGCCTCAAGCATCGGTGAGTGGTGAATGGTGAGTGGGACATAATATATATTTGCGCGTAAATTCTTCAAGTGATTCATCACCTTACTCCGATTTCCCAGCTCCGTAAATCATCCCGGAGATCAAACTCGGTGAACTCGTGGTATTCTGATCGATCACGCCGGCGATGTTCCTGCTGGCTCGCATGGACTTGCTGCTCGATGCTTGCTCGGCCACTGACGGCACCCGCGGCAGTTGTTTGTAGAGTGGGAGAATCTCGACTTGATCCGCGCCGGTGCCCCTGGCCTTGGCTGATTCCGCTGGCAAATACCTGGGGTGTCAAGAATTGGCGTGGAGTGACAGGTCTCCTGGGCTCATCGCTTGAACTGCTGCCGTTCTCTTCACGCAGACCAAGCCTAGTGTTCTGTGGATGTTGCTGCTGCTGCTCCCGTTGTTGCTGTTGTTGATTGCTAGCCTTGCTACTGGACGACTGTGGTCGTACTCCGCCGTCTCCTCCCGCAAACAGGTTCTCAACCAATTTATCCGGGGGTAGTTCCCCAGATTGACATGCCCACGTCGCTGCCAGCGTTCGTCGATAAATATCCTGGGCTTCTGACAATTCTCTCGTCTTGCTGGTGATGCTAGGGATGTCGTCTCCTTCGCCGGCCTCTGTGGTCAAGACCCCCGCGATGCCACCGACCACCATCGCTGACCTCAGTGGAGGTGCAATGAAATTAGAGTCGCCCTCAGTCTGCCTCATTCGGATCCCAATTTTCAGCGTGCTGTTGACCTTGCTGTCCTGTAGGAGATATCTTCTCGTGATGCTTCCATCATCGGCTTCATCTTGCGGATCGCGGTCTGCGGGCGGTAGATCCGGTAGTCGAGTGTATTCGGCCAGGTTGAGTTTCACATTGCCCAGATGTACGCGACCACCTCTTCCGCCTTCATGGAATTCTTGGAGAACTTCAAAGTGGATGTCGCACTCCTGGAGCATGCCCGTCTTGTCGATGGTCAGACGCACCGGTATTTCCTTCCAATAATCCCATGTTGCCTTGTGTTCTTCAATCGGGGCCTTATCGGTTCGCCCGCGGTGCTCCGCGGCGTTGGAAGAGGAGAGGTGCCATCTCACACAAGCGGTGCCATAGATCAAGGGGATGTTGGTCAAGTCGATGATGCGCAGGATGAGGTCGAATTTGGGCTACAAGAATTAGCCTCGCAGTCATTAGCTGTTGCGGAGAGGGGCTTCAGGAAGGTGGAAAGTGGCGCAAGCCGACGCATGACATACATACCTTGCGATTCTTGGGGACTGAGAATGCCAGGTTGATCAGCGCTTGCTTTCGCAGCATGTTCCTCGCAGCGTGGAGGAGAATTCCCCAACCATCATCACCATCGCCTTGGATCAGAAAGAAAAAAGAAGGAACTCACCAAAGGCCTGCATGGTCGAGGAAGAGCACGGAACGTCACCTTCTTTTCTTCACATGAGTTAGCGAACAAAGCAAACGCGTCCCCAGGTGTTCTTAGTGGGTTCCTTCCATTTCCGGCCGCAATTCTCTTGTGTTTGGTTCGCTGGTTCGAAGACGGCCGTGGAATTGCGTAGGCGATAGAGATGTGAGCATGGGGACGGAACAAGCTTGTTGAGAAGCGTGTGGAAACTGGTGCGAAGCGAGGGGCCGAGAGCGCGAGGGGGGTTTGGATGATGCAACCGACCAACCGATATGGCCGGACCGTTCGGACGAAACGAGTCTCCCGAGAACTTCCATCGCAATAATCCAATATCAATGCGCTCTTTGAGGTTGCAGCGATCAGCGCATGTCTAGCCTTCAGCCGGTCCTATACTTCTATCTTCCAGACCATCACACTGGACCCGGTTGACTAAGGAGGGTCCGCCATCATCCAAGACGCGGTTATGGCGTCCTCTGGCAGCAACTGGGATTGACCAGACCTCCACCCTTTGAAGGCCAAAATCGGCGATACAAAGCTTCCAACTCTGAACTTTCTGCAACGGATGTCACGGTCCGTGATGTTTGAGAACACCAAAATTGCTCGTAGCTAGACTCCAAGCCGAGAAGACTAGCCACTTGGCCCCCTCGCCTCGAGCATCTGTCTATCTATTCTATATCTAGCGCCCCTCCATGTGCCGGTAAGAAACCAGTATTGAACCCAGTCTTAGTAATATAGACAACGAATTGAGAATATCCCGTCCCTGCAACGTGCTAAATCTCTAAAATTTGTGCACTTCTTCCTTGGTATACCCCAACTCTCCGAGGATGCCACCCAGGCTACCCTGAGTCCATCCAAAGCCACCTTTAGCGCCAGCCACAGCTTCAATCATGGCAGGAGGCCCACTGACGAGAACCTTGACATTCCGTTCGTTCATCTTGTGAGGCATCACCTGGTTCAAGACGGTCTTGTTCACGTAGCCTTGGTGGTAGAGACCCTCGTTTTCAGGGGTGGTCTTGCTGATGGTGTAGGTCCTCGTGAAACGGTCAGGGAATTGCTTCGCCAGTTCATCGAATTCAGGTTTTAGCAGAATGTCCTCCTCAGTGTTGTTTGCATAAACTAGGGCGATCTTGGTCTTGTCCTCGGGATTGTTGAGAATGGCCCGGGTCAATTGGTAGATCGGAGTGATACCAGACCCTCCAGCGATGAAGGTCATAGCGGAGTATTGATTCGGCTTGTAGTCGAATTCGTGAAGAGGTTTGAACAGCATCGAATCACCAGGCTTCAAAGAGTGCATTTTGCCGGACCCCTTGCCGTTAGGATACTTCTTGACCATGAACGTGACATATCCAGGTTGGTCTTGTACATTATATAATCAGCTCCACGCCCATTTACACCATGGACAGATCCGAAAACTTACCGTTGGCGCTGACAGGGGTATATGGTCGGAAGACTGGGACCCAGGCACCCTCAGGCGTATGTCTAGTCAAGAGAGATGCTGAAGAAAAGGTTAGACAATCCTGGCTCTCGAAAAGTGGACAGCAGATCACACGTACTGACTGGGGGGACCCCGGTGATTGAGGAATCGTCAGGCAGAGCAAAAGTCAGTTTTTTGACATTGTGATTGACCATTTCAGCCTTTTCGAGCTTGAGCTCTGTGAAACCCTTCCATTCCATTTTCTTCAGTGCTGCCTTGGCATCTGAGGGAGGAGATTCGGCATGAACGGTGTTAAATCGGAAGAAGGTCGTGTTCCAGTAATGACATGCTGTATAGCCCGCTGTAGCTCCCACCGTTGCTGCACCGGCAACCCTGAGTGAAGAACGGAAATATCCTGACATATTGATCCTGATTGACTTGGTTGCTGATAAACACACGAAAACGAACAAAGAAAGTGTCCAGGAGATTATTCGAACAAGCTGTTCCTAGTTGGAAAAAGAGCTATAACACCTGTCCGGGTCGCGGTGGTAATTGCCCCTGAGTTGGAGAAAAGTCCACCAAGTCGAAGAATGAAGTACCTGAAACCCCAACACTGCAAAGAAGCGAGATAACCGCAACAAGGACAAAGACAACGGCCCAGAGGAAATCGATTATGTCGAAATTCGGTAGGAGGGAGAAAGATAGGATGTTGACCAAGTTGTTCAATTATTTTTTAGGTGGTGAAAAAGGGAAAGCTCCATCCGACCTTCGACTCAGCACATATCGGGGGCCGGTCAGGCAAACCCCGACGCTCAGACCTGATTGGGTAAAAATCCGCACGTGCGGGATCATAATTCCCCGAACAGTTCGACTGTTTGACCAAAAGGGCAGAGCAAGTCGGCCCTACGGATCTATAAATATCCTCTGCCTGTTGCTTGGCGCCCTACCTTCAGCCTTGGGTCCTTTGCCCCTTTTCCCTTCGTCCCTTTTGTCCGCACAAAAGCTACCAAGGTGTATCGCTGGCGAGGCTGCCCTGGAAAAAGGGGAGATGGGAGGAAGTCCTTTTCAGGAAGCCCCCAGGTCAACTCGCGTGGGAAAAGCATCCCCAGAAATGACTCCATGCTTGTGTTAGCGGCTCACAGCCTATTCTACTGCTCCCGCTTCGATTTCACTTGGTTCGTCATGTGTCGTGTTCCTTTCATTGACCAGAGCTTCCAATGCAATCATAGTCTCCTTTGGGCCTATGAAGGCCTCGTGTCTGTAGCCGATTGCACAGGTGCTTCTCTTTTCATTGTGTTCAGATGGGTGCACTCTGCAGGCATGTCAAACAACAAACACTGGGCCGTCGTAAAGGTACCTGTGGATAAGCAGCGATCAGAGACTGTCGAGCAGTGGTATCCGACTTCACCAGGTCCATGATAAATTTAACGGAATGTTCGTTTCCATTCTTTGCCCAAATATTGTGTCAGTTCTCTCAAGCGAGGGCAATGAACTTATTCTGGTCCCAGAACTGCAAAGCCTGTAGCACAGACAACATCTGGGTCAAATTATCTGGCACTGGAAAGTACCTCCCATGACGTCTTTCGACGGTTGTCCCCATTGTTGCAAACACAAGCAGGACCGGATCACGCCGCATTCATCATACCTGGAGTGTACAGTGGGAATGTAGTGCAAACGTCCTGGAAGATCCACATTGCGGGCATTCGCCATCAACTGTATTCTGCCGAAGCCGTCTTGTGCGACCAAGCAGGGGATTTGTGGTGAATCCTGACCGCCGAAGGTGCCGGATACGTTGCCCGCTCGTGGCAATCGACACCACACTCAGTAACTCATATGTCATTTCCGATGTCAGCGACCAGACGATGTTGCTTGCTGCATCGTTGTTTGCGCCAGCCGCGGGTACAGTTCTGCGATAGTCCTCCACCTGTGTGCGCACTCATGGATGCCATTGGGAACTTTTGTTGAAGGTGGAAAGTGAGTAATCTCAGCTGACAATGCAACCAACAACTCAAAGGGTGAGATGAGACAAGGTGATCACTGTGCCAAGTACGGAGACCACCAGCGACCAAATTCACTCGGAGGACACGACATCCTGTTCGACTTCGAAGTCTGGACACATCATAGGGTTGGAAAAGACCTGGACCAGCCAAGGCCCCCAAGACTGGACAATTCAGTGTTGAGCTGAAGCAGGCATACGAAGTCACAGTCTGAGGAAAGCCGAGAAACAGTCGGTCAGACAAAGCCACCTGCAGACACGAAGCAAGGATCGCTGGTCGCAGTCTGGTCACTTCTAAGATGGTTAGTCGCTTGGAGATGTGCACAACAGGTATGCATGGACACACCGACAAGAAAAGATCCTCAACTCGAAGTTGCGGCGGTCCCGCACCTTGCGTGCTGTGTATCGTCATCCCCATCGCTGCTGCCCGATGTTTTTTCCTTGCTCTTTCGTTGAAAGATGGTAAAAGCGAAGATGATCTCACATGATCGGCAACACAAAGGGTGGCGAAGTGCAGGCAAAAGTACCTGCGTACCCGTACCTTTTGAGCCTCGGGAAAACAAGTAGTGAATGCACGTGATCGGATATGCCGATGAGGCGTGAGGCGCAACATGAGGCTGTGCAGGCCATGCATGCAGGCAGGCAACGCAGGCAATGTTTCCATCATTTCTCTCTGCACATGCACGTGCACAGCCACAAGACCTTGGTCGGGCACCCACATCCCAGCTAGACAGGGGCCAGCCTGTTTCCAACCTCGCTTTCCCCGGTGGTCGATCTCATTCGCATCTTGCCTCTCGATTTTTCCTACTCCTCTCTCTTTCTGTTTTTGGAACAGCACCGTCGTCACCGTCTGAGATCCCTGGACTGAAACCTGCAGCTTGTCGATCTACTCCTAGAAACTAATGTCGGCGGCTGCTGCGACAAACTTGTACCTTGCGTCTCCGGACTATCGTCCCGCTCAGTGTTCATAATCGTCCGAGTTGGTGGGCACGACTTCAGTGGCTGTCACATGATGCTACCTCAAGGCCACAGGTAGCTTAACAGTCTGTGGAACCAATAGGAAATCATAGCAGGGATGTTGAGATAAAGTGCCACACCATTGTCCATGATCATCAGCCAATACATTTGCAGAAGTGCCTTCCGACGAGGATCACCTCAGCTGTCCTCCGCCCGCTAACTCGGGCGGATTGGCAACCACACAACATCTTATGTCAATGACTGGTTGTGCATTCTTTGCCTTCCGCCAGTCATCAATTTCACCCGAGCCCAGCCAGCACGATTTCTGAACTTTGTCCGCTGGGCGAGATTCTGGCCCTGCGCCTAGATCCCTTCGTTTGGTCCTGGAGGCCGCAACCCCCAGAGGCGAATCCCCAGAGGTCGGATTTGTGAGGTGGTGAAACGAGGGTCATCGTACCACGAACTCGGGTCTACAAATCGCATCGACGGGGGGCCAAAGACTCCTGATCTCTTGAGACAACCGCTCCAGGCCCGGCATACGTAAAGCTTTTGGAGTTGCGGTGCATGTGCCTAAGAGTTTACCAACAGCGATACAGCAAAGGTCACTCCTCCCCCAAGTCTCTGACGATGCCACCAACATGCTACGTGAAGGTGCGCCATCAGGGACTCAGGAGTCTGGTCTACCTGGACCGTGATTGAACAACCCTGGAAATTTGAAGACCCCTCAGGTGGCCGTACTCGTAACTGCTGATCAGGTCCCTCTTGCAGAAAGGAAAAAGTGCCTCGCATTTACGAAGGAGGCCGGACGCCAGGGTTTGGGACGGGATGGGATGGCAATCTGGAGATAATGTAGGTGGCTTCGGAACAGTTCAAGTTCAAGTAGTCTTCTAGAAGGGGAGACCATCTCGAAGTCCGCTTCCTCACGGGGAGAGCCGTGTCAACGGTAGAGTTACGAGGGTTGGCCGCCAGTGAATTGGATATATTGGCGGTTTGCGGCTTGCTGATCCAGACGCCATTTGCCAGGGTCAGTACCAGGACCAGGAAGCTGGATACGAGCGAAAGTTGGGAGACATTTGGGGGGAGGCGTAGGGCGAGGCCAGGATCAATCTCCGTACACGTGTATTCATACATATTTGACAAAGCCTTGATCAAACTTGATATTGGCAATCAATGCTGGTGCGCTTAAGTGAGCCAGGTTGATTTCAAGCAAGATGGCCGTGGTAAGCAGGCCACCAGTTACATGACGAGGATGGGTAAAGCTGGGTGAGAGGAGCGTCTGATCTTGCATATGCAGCTAATTCCAACACTGTCTTTTGTGTCATTGTTTTTTCTTGCCCAGCTCGGAAGAGGGGCCCGGGAAGGGGGCGAGAAGAGGGTGGGAGAACAGGCTGAGCTGGAACATTTGCGAGACTTTTGACGATGACGAATGGCCTGCGGACAGGGCTCAGACACCAACTTGTACCGTCGACACTCAGCAGGGAACGAAAGTAGGTCGAACGTGCAGTAGCGTGAACGCAAGGTGCAGGTTAGGGTCAGGTTCAGATCCCAGGTTCTTCGCTCAAGTCTGCAGTGCAAGTAACTGCACACTCGGAGGTGCAGGCTCGGGATCAGAAGGAAGGGAGGGGGGCCATCCGTAACCGGGACGCCGTGCAATGCAGCAATGCAGCACTGTGGCCCTGTGGCCCTGTAGCCAGCAAGTAGTATTCGTGCGTGAGTTGAGATGGATTGTGTGGGTTTGGTGTGGGTTTTGCTATGATGGGAAAAGAGGCGAAAAGGGAATCTTCAAGGGAAAAGGTGGAAAAGTGGGCTTTGGGAGGGGAGCAGCCGGGATGCGAATGGTAATGGGGACAAAAATGGGGAAGCCCTTGAGATTCTCGGCCTCGCCTGAGGGGGTGAGTGAGTTGAGTTTCGACTGTTGAGTTGTTGCGTGAGAATGACTTTCACCTTTCCGACTGTCCTGACTTGGCTTCCTGGCTTCCCTTGGGGGCTGCGCCTCGTCGTCGCCTTTGCCGTTCGCTCTTTGCCGAATTTGCCTCTTTTTGCCCTCTGCCCGCTTCTTCTGACTCCTCTTTACCGGTGTTGCTGCAAAGCTGTTCCTGATTGAGTTGTATCATGATACTAGGTTGCTTGATTTGTTTGTTCGCTTCTTCGCTCGCTTCAGTCAGAAGGACTCGTACTCACAGTCCTCCCCAGCGACCCATGTCCCCCCTTTCTCACCTTGTACTGTGTGAATCATCATCACATCCTCTCGTATCCCTCATCCCCCCCCCAAAGCCCCAAAAGCCTCAGGCCCGTGCTGCCCGTGCCAGTAGTCCCCTCCAAAAGTGGCTCCCATCCTTTCGTGTTGCTGCTGATGGAGAAGACCTGTATCCACAATTTTTCTTCTCACCCATGTCTCCATCCAACTGCATAACGCTTTGCTGCGCCTGACCGGCCAGGTCTCCCATCTTTAGCTTTACTCTGTTCAGC